AAGAACCGTAGACCCGTTCAAAATGCATACAGTCAAAGTGGCGTCCGTATAAGACATTCTTACGTTAGAGCTGATTAATGTGACAGGGCTCCATTTTCCCTAGAACTTCTTTTGATCGAATTACAGATTCTCTGCCACTGGAATTTCTTGAATAAAGTCTTAATTAGGTACTGAAAATAATGATACTGTTAAATTTCGGGACTAGTGAAAGGTTTTTAACCGGGATCCCAAACATGTCGTAAGACTTTTGTTTTATGAACGGAGCGTGACTATGAATTGTTTGTAGCCACGTTTACGGGTCGAGGTGAAACGGTAGTCCCATAATGTGTGGTCTCCTGGCCTTGTTTATAGCTTTTTTTTGGTAAACAATAAAGTTAACAATTTCAAAATTCGAGTAACTTCATAATTATCGATTCAGGATGTTAAAAAACTGATAACTTCACAAGGAAAGAAAAGAGAAGAGGACTACTTTTTTGTAGCGAACGTATACATAAAAAAGCACCAGGCAACGGGACCGGGGCCCGTGACGCTGCTAACCGTACAAGATTAGTTCTGGACACAGTATACTGTGCCGCGGTATACGTGCCGTACGCGTATAATTCGAAAACAACCTGACGATATGTCGTCTCTTTGGACTGAATATTGGGTTTTGTCTGTAAATCACGAAGAAAGTTGCGGTAGGACTTTTGATGCTCATCTAAAAATTGTGTAATGAACATAATACTTTGAGTCCTTGGATAAAACACAGCTGGATAAAACACAGCTTGTTCAATATACTCATCAAAAAAAGTAAGCGATGGTAATGAATATTAATCTCTGAGAGTCTTGGAAAAAATGTTGATTTCTCACTGCTTGACTGCTGAGTCACATGTGATGGGGATGGCGTTGGGCAGCAGTACAGCCGTTGTATATATACGAGTCCTGTTCATTACGTCACGATTTTTCTGATTTTACGAAGAGCCAGACGACTGTTGATTTCAATTATGTGCTCACGACCAACAAATTACTCCATGAAATTCAGTTTTATTAACATATCAACGCACATTAATGGTAGTTTGTCATTACGATATATATATGGGTTTACGCTACAATAACAAAAATATAAAAAACAAAACGACATTCAGCATTCCACGACCTCTTTAAACACTACCAACACGGCGAATTTCCGAATTTTTCTAATCAGTTTCATTATCAGCCATTCAATTTCGCGTGAGTTTTGCACATGTGGTCCAATTGGGGTTTCTTTTTCATTTGGGGTTCATTCAATTTCATTTTTAGGCAGCCAAGATTTTGCTGTGAATGTTCGTTTTCGTTTCGGGCAACCTATTTCGTTTTGGCGCATTCAAGACTTAACTTGTAGCAGTCTAAAATTAAGTCTTTGCAACCTTTTGACGGTTGACGCATTCAAATTAGCGAACATCTGTGCGATAATATCGTATAACCATGCTTTTCGTTTCTTATTCGTTTATGGGCAATCGCTCTCATTGGTCATTTAAATTATAGGTTTTGCCGGCCAATTTCATCAAGTTTTTATTCAATTTAACGCCTGGCTCATTCGATTTAGATTGAAATTGAAAGATCACGCAGATCAGCATTCGACAATCAAAAAGAATCATTCAATTTCACTATCCGGGCATTCTATCGCCTTTTAGCTTCAATCGTCCCTATCAAAGATGCATTCATATTAAAAGTATTGCGTTGGTCATTCAATTTCGTCTAAACCATTAGTAAGGGGTTGATCGGGCATTCGTTTTCATTAATGGGCAAACATGTTTCACATTTTGTCAAACATCTTTTAAGACTTCATACGTGTCCGTATTCTTTAGCGTAAATCATATTTGATGACTTCAAACCGTAGATTGACTTTCTTTCTTAAAGGGTATGTGCAATGAATTTTTCTCAGGAATTCTTTTTGCGCAACTCTGTGAAATGTAAGAAAAGTACACATTTGACAACACTTTTGGGGTTTATCTTTTTGCAAATGTGCACTTCTTTAAGCATTTAAAAGTTTCCATGTTTTTCCGGACTAACGCTGTTACTGTGATGTCATTTCAGGAAGACACTGTTCAGTTTAGGGTTTTTTCTTTCAAATTATTCATCCAAAATTTGCTAATTGAAAACGTTTGTGGGAAAGGGTTGGTCATTGATTTACTGCCATGTACTGACACATCAAATAATCACCGAATAAAAGAAATTTATGACAGCAAAATATCCAAAATTCTAGCAACTTTTTTGCTGAAATAGCCGTGTAACATTAATCATGCTCGGAATGCCATCACAGGTTTTCTAATGAATATGAAACTTTGTATAAGCATAAAAGCGGAGAAGGCACCAAAAACGCCCCTCAAAATGGAAAATAAAACTTGCAAATAAGGTTAAATTTGACACAAAGATGTATTGCATTGAAAACTTTGCATGGGCCCTATGAATATGGTAAGTGTTCGGTCAGACATACGCAAAAAAAACATTCAAGAAATATCGCAAGAGAAGTGTTCCCGACGGTACAACCATTTCCAAACATATTACGTGTTCCGATGTCTTGCACGTTAAGAAATCGTCAACGTAACAAAACCCCTTGGTCAAACGTTTCAACAAGTAGAAAAGATCAACAGTGAAAAAGAAATTATCTTAGTCCCTTTCAATTCATTATTTCGTTGCATCTTGTTTCCCTCATATCAGTTGATTTGTAACATTGTAAAATTTACAGTCATCAAGATCCTTTTTTTGGGGTGGGAAATGAACCTCGGAGAGAAAAAATATCGATTAAAAATTCTTATTAATTTAAATGACTAAACGATGAAAGTGATTGCCCATAAACGAATAAGAAACGAAAAGCATGGTTATATGATATTATCGCACAGATGTTCGCTAATTTGAATGCGTCAACCGTCAAAAGGTTGCAAAGACTTAATTTAAGACTGCTACAAGTTAAGTCTTGAATGCACAAAAGCGAAATAGGCTGCCCCAAAACGAAACGAACATTCACAGCAAAATCTTGGCTGCCTAAAAATGAAATTGAAGGTAAGGTAACTGGCTGCTTTTTTTCTGGCGAATTTTACCGAAATTGTGTATTATTTTACATAACAATTTTTACCTTATTATTATTTACATATCTTTTTGAGAGTGCATGCTTTTCCGGACTACTGAGCGCGCTGTTACAGCGATGTAACATCAGGAAGTCAGCTGTTCAGATTAGGTTTTTTTCTTTCAAAATAATTATTCATCCAAAATTTGCTAATTGCAAACGTAATTTTGTGAGAAAGGGTTGTTCATTGGTTAGTGCCATGTACTGCGACAACAAAGAATCACAAGATATAAGAAAACTAGGACAGCAAAATATCCAAAATGCTAGCGACTTTTTTGTGCTGAAACAAACATAAATCATGCCCGGAATGACATCACAGTTTTTCTAATGATTATGAAAACTTTGCATTAGGCTAAAAACGGAGAAGGCACCTAAGACACCCTTCAAAATGGAAACAAAAAACATGCAAATCAGATTAAATGTGACACAAAGATGTATTTTCAAGGTTTGCATTGAACATGTTCAATGCAAACCTTGTAAATACATCCTTTTACTTTGTGCGGGCCCTTTGAATCAGTGTTCGGTCAGACATACGCAAGAAAACATTTCAGAAATAGCGAAAGAGAAGTGTTCCCGATGGTACAACCATTGCCAAACATACATGCCCCGATGTTTTGCATGTCAAGAAATTGTCAACGTAAAGATGCCCCTTGCTAAAACGTTTAAACAAGTAGAAAAGATCAACAGCAAAAAAAAAAGAAATTATGTTAGCCCCTTTCAATGCATTATTTCGTTGCATCCTGTATCCCTCATATCAGTTAATTTGTAACATTGTAAATTTTACATTCACCAAGAATTTTTGGGGAAATGAACCTCGGAAAATAAAAGGAAAATATCATCGATTAAAAAGTCTTACTTAATTAAAATGACCAAACGATGAAAGTGATTGCCCATAAATGATTAAGAATCGAAAAGCATGGTAATACGTTATAAGCGCACAGACGTTCGCTAATTTGAATGCGACAACCGTCAAAAGGTTGCAAAGACTTCATTTAAGACTGCAATATATTAAGGGAATAAATGTGTGTTTGGGAGGTATTATAACGCTCTGTTTAAGACCGGTTTGAGTCTGGATGGGCGATAATTACCCGAGGCGAAGTCGAGGGTAATTATCGCCCATCCAGACTCAAATCGGTCTTACGATTAGAAAAAATCGGAAATTAGCCTAGGAAAACCTATTTAAAAAAAGGTACAAAACTAAACGAAAGTATAGAAAAGATCAACTTCGAAAAAGAAATTCGCCAAAACGTTCGTTGTTGGTTACTTTTTCGATCTCAGCTGGAAAACGAATTTCGTTTAATATTGATGATGCTGTGAATACGGATGGGTATCAACGAAAATTACCCGCAATTGTCGTACTTCTGTCCTGATGTTATCCTCCACAGTCACTGTTTTTTCTTTTTTTTATGTTATTCCTATTTTAGGTGTTCCTATTTTATTACTGTTCTCCAAGCCTTTTCACTTGGGTCCGCTTGAAAGCCTGCAATCTCCAAGAAGACGATGAAAGACAATTTTTCATTCAATGTTATATATTCTATAAAATTTTCATATAAGCTGTTGGGAAAATATCATTTTGTTCATTGTGAGGGTTTCTTTAGCTCGTAGATTATTTCTTTGCCTCAAAGTTGCCCTGAAAATTGCCTTGTGTGACTTGTGCGTAACATCTTATACTACCGGTACAACAAATTTCCAACAGTTTTTCGCATTGATTATGACCTCTAATTAATCTTTAAAACAGTTTGTTCTGTACAGATGACTTGTGTTCTGTTTTGAAAATGAAATTATACTAAAATACATTTCAAACGCATGCAGCCCAAGTTCGAACAAGATTCAGAAAATCAGGAGGTTCTATAAATACAAAAAGGTCCAGTTTATTTTTGCATTGTATGGTATGTTTTTTTCCCCTTTGCGACAGGTATGTCGGGTAAGGTGATGATCTGGGATATCACCCAGGGTACTATGAAGTACGAACTCCAACCAGTCTCTTACAAAATCAACGATATTGCCTGGTTCAACAGCGAACAGATTGTCGTGTGTGGTGAAGGAGGTGATTCGTAAGTGTAGAATCTCGAGACACATTGTTTTTTTTAAACAAGACAGTCCTTTATCAATCACTATAAATGTACATGCATAATTGCACACGATCCAATCTGCAGAATATAGCAAATAACATTTACGTAAAGCTAAAGGTGTGTTTACAGGTCACATCCGTTCAAAGTGAAACTTCTCCATTACGGTTTAAAAGAACGTGTGTTGACAGAAGCCCGACATCTCTGTACGGCTCTGCTGATGAGTAGTAAAGAGCACCATCTATTGTTCATGCACGGAGTCCATAGAAATTGCAAGACCTAAGTCCCAATCACACATTTACGGTTTGGAGCTACGAATCTCTACCGTTTGAAATTCGTGGTAAACCTTGGGAGTACCGTATTCATCCTATAAAGTACATCCGTGGTTATCCGTCATCTTTCTTGGGCATTCGTGGAGGGCTTCGGAAGTTTCAAATTGTTCAAAACTTCCTCCCTCCTAGACTGTTTTTCGCCCCCCCCCCCCCCACCAAGATAATGGGGACCGGTGACTAGTTCCAATTTAAAGCCTTTGATTAAATCGCGATTGTTGAACTCACGATTATCAAGAAACACACGCTTGTTTTACTACAAAAAGTACACAAAATCACCAGTGCAATCAACTGCATAGGTTTTTGTATGACCTGCTCACATTAAGGAGCACCCGATAAAAAAACAAGCAGAATATCCCATGGGGATAGCTAAGTGCTTGTTTCAACAGACCATCCCACATTAAAAACAAGAAATAAGAAGAGGAACATTAGTTATTGGACTATGCCTCACTCACTAGAAAGTGAAGAGAGACATGTCTATTAGCATCACACTGCAGTCACATTTGCCCTGAACTGATTCTTTAATCAATGTACATTGAAGGACTGCAAGCCCTGGTAATGTATGTCTGAAAGAACTGATGACGATAGAATGTTCCAGATCGTAACTGCCGCAGGAAGAAGTTCTTCGCAGAGTTCTTGCTGCAGTCATACCCTGGGGGACCGGGGACTGAAGAGCATATTTGTTGAGTAGCATGGATTACCTGGTTTGTCGAGCAGCAGGTGGCCTTACAGGTGGGACCATGGATTTCAGCAAGGTTGGGAACTTGCTGCACTGCATCCTATATAATAATAATTTGGGAGGCTAATCATCCTTACTCGTAGCTGGTATGCTGAATTGCGAAGGACGCGGCTACAACGTGGTCGGGCCGCTGGCACGTAAAGGCGCCTATGGCTGCCGGTGTGACAGGTAATTCTGTCCCCCCTGGTAAATGTGTCCCCCGGACACATTTACCGGCTCGTGACCCGGTAAATGTGTCCGGGGGGACACTTTAACCTAGGTAAATTTGTACCCCTCCAGGTAAAAATGTCCCCCTGCCCAACGATGAAAGTGTCCCCCTGGTAAATGTGTCCCCATGCAGTATGTACTGAGAGCAGCAGCGTGTCGCACGCGCCAGTACATGCTGCAAGATTTGAGGCAGTGATTATAACATGTGTACATATGCGTCTCCCTCTACAATGGAAATTCGTCCAATAGGAAATTTTGTTACGCGCTATGATGGGAACACAGACCAATCCAAGGAGACGTTGTATCATACTATCAATGAGACGAGGGCCATCGCCATGCATCGCCGCTGTGTTGACCTATCGCAGTAGAATCGCGATAGACTTCACCGTACTCCGAATCGAAACATTGTGTTCACGTATCACCTAATAGACTAAATTAATTATTTTTTATATTCATGAAGGGCAGGCTAAAAGTCCAAAATGTATACCTTGTAGAATGAATTCATCAAAACAATAACCTTCCGGGTTTCAAAAGAGGGGGATTAAAAAACCTGGGGGACAGAATTACCTGGAGGGGACAGAATTACCTGGAGGGGACAGAATTACCTGGAGGGGGACAGAATTAACGGGCAAGGGAGGAGACTTTTACCTAGGTAATTCTGTCCCCCCGGACACTTTTACCGGGGGACAGAATTACCTTCCACACCGGCCACATCGACCCATAATAATGACCACGGAGCACAGCCTGAGATCGAAAGTGTTTGATTTTTCCGGAGGGAGGAAAACCGGAGGGCCCGGAGAAAAACCCTCGTGGCACAGGAGAGAACCAACGCACAACTCTACTCCCATGCGATCCGCGGCCAGGATTCGAACCGTGGTCACCTTGGTGAGAGGCGAGCGCTTTACGCACAAGCCACCAATGCCACCCCTATATAAACAGGAGACTGCTGCAACATTTCTTCGATGGGATAAACTGCTAAGATTATGCCTCAGTTGCTCTTGCTGGCTTAATTCTATTAGGCGGCATGCTCTCCTTTGGATTTTATCAAGAGCCGAGAGTTGGACTGTGCTAGCTCCCATCCAGGCTAGGAGTGCCTACTCCATCTTGCTTCTGACATAAGTCTTGCAGATGGTAACAAGACCTGCCTTGCTGAAGACTGGACCCAGTCTCCGCAACATTGAAGTACGCTGACTAGCAGTGCGAGTGACATTCTTTAGATGTGTCCTCCATTCTAGCAGGTGAGAGAAAATAAGCCAAGGAAGTTTCATCTCCATCTTATCACTGACAATTTGGCCTTGGAACATTATAGGCTGATGATTTTGGATGTCCTTCATGTTGGACACAGTGAGACACTGACTCTTGGATGGCTAAAATTCAATTCTCCAAGTCTGTCCTCAATTGCTAATTCGTTCCAAATCCTCCTGAAGTTGTTCAGCTGCTGCTAGCCTCATGCTCGATCTTACTTCAGGAGGTGAGTTTTTGATTAATGTGAATATTGTGATGTCATCAGCATAGGCAAGAAGTTCTGAATGACAGATCACATCACGTAGATCTTCGATGTATATCAGGAACAGAGTGGGACCAAGAATACTGCCTTGGGGAACACCAGCATTGATCTCATAGCAGGTTGACTTTTGTCCAGCAACCACTACCTCAAGATGTCTGTTTAGTGTTAGATAAATAACTCTTCCTCCAGGTAAGCAGTTGGCCAGTGATTCCAAATGAATCTACTTTTCGAAACAGACCTTGATGCCATACTCTGTCAAAGGCGCCTTTGATGTACAGGGCGACCATTCGAACTTCACCTCTCTCATTAAAGATGGTGCACCACCGATGAGACATATAGGTGAGGAGATCAGAGACAGAGTGGAGATTTCTGAATGCAAATTGGTTGTCTGATATGAGGTTGTTTTGAAAAAGATGTTTCTGTAGTTGATCATTTATGCTCTCCATTACCTTGCTGATGGTAGATAGTAGAGAGATCAGCCGGTAGTTTGACGGGCAAGATCGACTATTTTCTTGTGCACAGGAACAACTGATGTAACTTTTCATGGGCAGGGGAAATAGCCTCTGCTGAAGCTGAATCGGAAAAGTTTGGCGAGTGAAGCTGCAAGTTCTAAAGCGCAGTTCCTCAAAACCTTGGCAGAGATACCGTCAGGCCATGCTTTGTTCTTATCCAGCTTTTGCAACTTTCTTTTTATGTCTCGTGGCCTGAAAGTGACATGGCTGAGGTGTTCAGCAGTGCGGTCCTGGATAACAGGTGGTGGATCAACTGCAGAAGTGAGATTACATTTGTTTGAAAAGGTTTGAGCCAATATCTCTACTTTATCTTGAGCAGTTGAGAAGGCGATGTCATTTTATTGCACAGGGGGAATTTCTGTATGACCTCCAGTTCCAGAGAGTTGCCGATCTGTCCACCACCAATCTCTGTCTTTTCCATTTTCTACCAGTTTATCCCTCATCAACTTAACTGAGTGGCCTTGGCACGCCTAATGGTTTGTTGCGCAAGACTCCTGTGCTTGATAAAAACAGCATGCTTTGTGACATTGGTGGGATCTTGTCTCTATAGCTTGAATGACTCCTCCTTCTGAGTGATAACTTTTCGGCATTTTCTGTGAACCAAGCTGAATCTTTGGATTGACGTGTAGTATAGTATGAGGGATTTGTCTTACTATTGCTTGGCGAATGATCTCAGTGACATTTGAGCAAGCCTTCTCTGGATCTTCTGTATCGAGAGCAGAGTTCCATTCAGCAGTCTTTAGGTCATGTCGAAGTCTCCCCCAATCAGCTTTGTGATATTGCCAGACTGTTCATGGAGATGGATGTTCTTGGTAAATGAAGCCAGGAAATGATGAAAGTACAGTATTTTGATCGGATGTGGTGATGGGTGCAATATTAAACAGAGCAAGAGCACTGGCCTTCCTCTGCATCAGTCAGGACAAGATCAAGGATAACTTAATTGTCCCCACGGGTTGGTTCTTGAATAAGTTGAACAAGACCGTGCACGTTGGCAAACTGCTCAGTTGTTCTTCCAACCTTGTCCGTTGGAGATTTTGAGGACAGCCATTCTTGGTGATGGACATTAAAGTCCCCCAGATTTACAGATGTGGATATTTTGTATTGTTGTTGAATACGATCAAGGTTGACGTCATGATACTGGATCATGTTATTATCAGAGCCAGGTAATGAGCCAGGACGGTAAACAACACACAATAAATATTCTGAGCGAAAGGAAGCATGAATTCTGAGTAAAGTTGATTCACAGATGACACACTTGTAACAAATGCGTTATTAATGGCTATACTCATTAAAACGCGTAAAGTTACTCGCGTCTAATGATGCACCAAATAGGTATTATGTTGGAATACCCATAGTGACGAGTAAAACGATTTGACTTCAGAATACTCACAGGAAATTTACTCATCCAGTGAATCAAAATATTTGGGACGCACTTGGTGAGTAATTTAAAAAATAACACACAGGTGAGTTATTAGCATAAAAACTCACTCGAAGAGTACATTTAAATACTTAAAGAAAACGTGTAAGCCTGACACCAGAATGACACACAAATGAGTCAAGGTCATTTTACGTCAGCCAAGCTTGACACACTTCTAGTGTGTCCATTTATTCTGCCTTTCAAATGCATAACAGACTTAAGGATGTATCCTTGCCAACTGCAAGAAGGTAAGAGTGTGTCTGATACATTTGGA